ATTGAACAGGGCTCATTCTTTCTGCCAGACAAATCTCACTTCACATGTATTTTGCCAGATCATCACAGCTACACCAATACTATAAGACCATTATAACACTAGGGATGTCACAAATTGAGGCAATCCATAGAAGGCTTAAAGAGATTAATGTTATAGAGGGAGGTCAGGTGGAATTTCAATCCTTGTTACCATTTTGGCTGAAGCATCTGCATAAGGAACATGTGGCAAAGCAACGTTACTCAGAACTTTCAGCAGAGATGTGGGTTGTAGAATCCCTGGTATAAGGAGCATGGCTACAGGGAGTTGTATATAAAGCAATATAATATGGGACAAATGGGCCCAGGTTCAAAGCACAGTATTTTGCTGTGGAGTGGCAGATGTCAAGGACCTTTGTCCTAGAAATATGAATGTTGGATCTGCAGGTGGACCAACTTTCTTTCAACTTTAAGGGAAAATGGGTCCAAGCCTGACATTTAGCACACCTCCCTTCTCTTCAAAACAGGCTGCTTCTTCTTTGTTTAAATCAGAGAGTTGCAGTAAGTCACATACCTGTCAAGAGTAACACTGGAACAGATAAGATATAGTTTATTTTTTACTGGGTGCTTGTTAAGACATATACTCAACTCCCACATTGCAAAGACTTTACAGAGCAGGAAAATGTACCGTGATGATTTTGGAGGATTCAACTGCAAGCACCAGTTATGGCAGTAGTTGTAAACCAATCAGGATTTGAGGTGTCTTCAAATACAATAAACACCTGAGATTGTGAACCAAAGAAGATATCATTAGTGAAGATGAGTTTATGGGATAGTTTCACACAAATCATTATTTATAAATTGAAATAAAAGTGTTAGAGCTGGTAAAGAACCGTGAGGAAGACCATTTGAGTTGGCTTTTCCAGTAAATGGTTGTTTCACTCATGTGAAATGGCATTTGTGTAAAAGAAGTTCCAAACCAATCAAGGAGTATTTAGAGAGTTAAATTAGCTGTCCACTAGGCTATATTATGTTGGTGGTAGAAGTCAAATAGAGGAAGGAATTAGCAATCTTCAACTTCTTCTGATAGATACTGTCTATGTCAGTTGTCAATGTAAAAAGTTGATCATAGGTGCTATCACAATGATGGAGACTAGCTAACGCTACAATTAAAAGGTTGTCATCTCTTGGAATGTTTGATCTTCCAAAGGATCTTGCTAGTACCTTGCAGCAAACACTGAGCAGCAATGTAAAGTGTTATCACACTGTAGAACACGGATCTTTGCCTCTTATCTGAGCAATGATTTTCAATTATTGCTGTGACTTAGGAAGTTCTCCCTGAAAGGATTTTTGCAGAGAGTACAATAATAAAGATGCTTCAAGAATTCATATGAAATGCTGTCATCCCTTAGGGTGGTACCAGTTTTCAGAGCCATCAGGTCACCAAATTCCACAATAACCACAATGGCTTCTAGACACTTTTGGTAGACTGTTTTTAAAGGAACTGTTGCCATTGGCTGAGCATCTTGCTCAAGACAGCCTTTCTGACTTTAAGTAGATGAGTTGTAACCTGGCTTGCATGACTGCAAATTGACTCTGAATTAGAGTTCTCTGGGTAATTAACAAACCAACAAATAACATTCCAGATTTTCCAGTTTCTTTTTGTAAAGTGTAGATTGGATGTTACTTCTTCTGAGTAGGTGCAACAGGCAGATTTTCTGACCCCTATCAGATGACCCACATACACTGGATGTAATTTGCTTAGGATGGACACATGCACAGCTTTAAACAAGGTGTCACAGAATCCACAGTAAACTTCCTTAACGGGGAAACAACAAGGAAAGATAAATCATAACTGTAGATTTTCAAGTGTCATACCAGGTACACCAGCTGGCCTTTAGAAGATACCTCTAAGGTACTGAAGAACTTTTACAAAATGGAAAGCCAAAAAAAATCAATTATGATCAGTGTTGACTATAACAGAAATCA